AGTTCCTACGTAAAACAAATTCTATTTTTCCACTCCTTGTTTTGTGCAATTATATTGGAATGTCTCCTACCTGTCATCTATCCCTACCGCTTTCGTTATCTAAACTATTACTTAATTGTCTAATTAGTAAAATCCTTTTATACATAATATATTTAGTATATGCTAACATATATAATTTCGTGTTCTATTTAAAGAACTGATCTTAGTTATCCATCTTTTTTAACTTATAATAAAAGATAAATGATCCTTAAATCTAAGTTTACCATCTATGATCATTTCTAAGTATTTTGTTTTCTCTCACGTTCAATCTTAATTCAAATAAAAATTTCAATACAGCGTTCCCTTTCACCTCTTTTCTTACGCTCCCAAATATCATGTATGTTATATTTTCTCCATACACTTTCAATTTCTTCATATTTATTCATTCCTCTATTATATTAAATGCCTTATTCATTTCCGTATCTAACTGCATATTAGTTTCTCCAGTGATATGTATTAATGTATCATCCTCAAATATTTTTATTTTACATCTACCGGAGCATATTCTGATTACGTCATTTATGCATATAATAAGTAATGAGATACTGGATCCAATACAGTATCCTTGTGGCACTCCATACCCAGCGTTAATTAATGTGACCATCTATTCGTTGAGAAGGAACTGCTGCGTTCTATTATTTAAATATGATTTTAATTATTCTAAATCTTTTCCTCTAATTCCATATCGCTACAGTTTTGAAATTAGTCTTGTTGAAATCTGTACACTGTTACAAACACTCGTTTAATATCCATGAAAATTACTTTCACCACTTTTCCATTGCTAACTATTAATTTCCATTCGTCAGTCGCAGTTTGATTTGCCCTTTCGCGCGAGTACTCTTTTCTAAAGCCAGATTGGTTTTCCGTCATAATATCATCATTATATATTACCATTATTCATATCATATATATCATCATTAATTTTCAAATACCCTTCTATTTGCTTCTTCACCAATAATTCTAGCACTTCTAGCACAGGGTTCAAATTTTACTCCGAGAATAAAGTAATTGGGAATACACTATCTTAAAGAAACGTTCTGAGAATCTGTAACGTAAAATATGTTATTTCATTAAATAAAATGCAAATTATATTTTCATGCCCTATTCAATATTTTTTCTAATGTTATTGTTTAAAATTTGCAGTTATATACCGCACCTATTAACCATTATCCATTCTTTCCAGATTATACGTAGAAATACTATAATATATGTATACCTTTGTTTGTATATATATGTTTATATATATATACATATATATATATATATATATATATATATATGCTAATCAGTACAATGAAAATCATATATTCAATTTTTATCCCCACCATAAGGAATGTGCAAACATACATCTAGCCGTGTGAAATGTATTTTTGATAGCATATAGTTTTGAGTGAACAGTACACTCTAGATAATAATAATTACGAAGAAAATTACTTGTTAAGTTGAAAATGGAAAAAAATGGTAGAAATATAGCATTATCCATGTTACGAAGTTTATCCTACTAGTATTGTCAAATCTTTAACCTATTCCTGTTAACCTTAAAAAGAGATGTAAAAAAATTTTTTTTAATTTGATACTCATGCATGTATTAGATTCATTGGATATATAGTTAAATCGAATTAAAATCTTTGCGATTTTGAATACTGTTATGTTATTATTAAAATTAGATATATGTTGAAAATCAATTAGAAACGTATATTACCTGTAATTATTATATTTTATCAATTTGGAAAATCGTTCATTGAAAATGCAGTTTTATATGAAATTAATAGAATTGAAAGATAGTATCATTTTTATGTTATAATTATTCAAAAAGAGGTAGAGAGGACAATACAAGAGAAGATAAACATGACGCAGGTAATAAAGGTTATGGTAAAACAAAAAATTATGTGGGAACTGGATATAACACTAGAGATAACCCATTTTATCTTAGATTCCAATACGAACCCTATTATAAAGGACATCAGTAAGAATAACATTTCTTATTATTTTAGATTATTTTTATTCTGATTATATATTTATAGCAATTTGTATCCTGCTTTCGTCCATTATAGTTTAAGAAGACGGTATCTATCATTTTCTTTACATCAGCTTTATAGATACAAATAGAATAGATATATGTAAACCAATTGATCTTGCTAAATATACGGTATTATATAACTTTCATATTAATTGGAAACATGCTACAGTCCATTTAACAGATGAGGTAATTAAATTTTTATCATTAAGGTAGAATTATTACTATCGGATATTAAAAAAAGCATCTTTTAAAAGTACAAATTAAATCAAAGCAAAAGTCAATGTGGAGGTACTTAGGCCAAGTGAACCTGAATCTTTGCTGAATCTTTGAACTGATCATTGCAATCGAAAGAAATGATAATGTTATTACTACAGCCTATTATAATAAAAAAAAAACTGCTTATTTGCTTTGATACTGAACAATTTCTTCGCGGAGGTATAGATATTCTTGATTATTTAATTATTTTGGCAATATAGTTGATTTACAACAATCGAACATATTTTTTTGTATTTATATCATTTGAATAATATGTTTACTAATGAAACATTTGTATGACCTAGGTGATCCAATTTCCCGTAGATTATTACCAATTGTAGATTGTTTAGAATATTATTCGAATGCTGCATCAAGAGGATATTTGGTAGACCCTGAAAAAATTTCTCAGGAACGTTTAATATAATCTTAATAATATCATTATATACTTGCAAAAATTGAAGATAACTGTGAAATGCTAAACGTAAAAACAGTCATTCTGTGGGCAGATTGAATTATAAGTCTTGTAGATGAAACAATTCTCAAATCAAAGGCAGAATATTCGAAAGAATTTTATGCTAGTTAAAATATTGCATATTTAATGGATAAAAAAAAACATGTTTAGTCTTATATTAAATCATTTAAAATACATGATATCAATAAAATAAGAATATATGAATACTTCATCGAATTATTTTAAAGCTAACTTTCGCCAAATTTTATAACATTTTCATAATATTTTCATAACATTTATGATGAAATTTTGAGATGTTGAGAAACTGTAATCACAGTTTGGACAAAAATAAGTTCCCGCCCCTTTTTATAGTCAAGACCAGCTTCGGCCATCTTGATCGATGTATCGATCCAATGTATCAATTCCTGTCGAATTGAATAAACACAGCTTTTTGTCTCATAGGAGAAAAAACACAGAACGATACAGATTTGTTTAATTAATATCCCATGTGCATAATCCTGTTCCATCAGGTTATGGGCCCAGGTGACGTGAAAATTAAATAAAAAGAACATAAAGAAAAACATCGCGCGTGAAGGACAACGTCGATATTTTTTTACTTTTATGGTATCAGTGTCTGTTGAGACTACAACACAAGGCGTGGGTGATCTAACCTCAAAAGGCGATTTCATATCGCGTGGGTGATCTAACCTCAAAAGGACGATTTCTTATTCGTACCGCGTAACGTGTGAGATACGTGTGAAAAAAAAGAAGAATTTTATTATTCTCATGGAATGATTCATTATTCGCTGTGATCTTCGTTACCGTCAAGGATGTCGAGTTCAAATTAAGTAACGCAACTAGTCGAGAAGCTGCAAGAAAGAGAAAATTTCCCAACATGGAAATTTGCGATGCAAGCGTGGCTGGAACACGACGACCTGTGGGGTGCGTACTGAGAACTGAAGAGTACGTAGCTGATGAAAAAAGGGCAACAAAGGCTAAGTCAAAACTCATCTTATCAGTAGACTATATAAACTATGCACACATTCAGGAGTGTGCCACCGCAAAAGAGGTATGGGAAAAATTACAAACTACTATCAAAGACTCGGGATTGACGCAGAAGGTCAGCCTTTTGAGGACCTTAGCAACTACTCAACTACAAAAATGCAAAGATGTTGAGGAATATGTAAACATTATAATAACAACTGCTTATAAACTTGATGGCATAGGGTTCAAGGTGACAGACGAGTGGGTAGGAACGCTGCTTCTGACAGGACTACCAGACGAATACTGCCCCATGATTATGGGTCTGGAAAAATCTGGGACAGCAATATCCGCAGACTCGATAAAGATAAAATTGCTACAAGACGTCAAGGGAACAAAAAGAGTAAAGGGCGCGAGCAGCAACACAGCATTCTACACAGGCGGGACAAAAATGAAGTCGAAGGCTGTACGGTGCTTTCGGTGCAAACATACAGGACACTTTGCGAGTAAATGTAAAGTAAAGCCAACCGTACAAACAAATACAAGCGAACAAAATGAAAAGAAGACAGTGCCAACACAAAGTAAAGCGTATTGGGCTTTCCTATCGTCAATGGGAACAAACGGTAGAAACTGGTATGTCGACTCGTGTGCGTCAAACAATTTTTTGGCGGTGGATCAGGGACTAAGAAACCAGAAGAAATGCTCAGTAGCGAAAGTTACTATGGCGAACAAACAAGGTATGTCAGCAAGATTGATAAGGTACATGAGCCTGGAGATTCCAACGAGTAACAGCGTACAAGAGATTACAGAGCTCAATGTGCTTCATGTACCAGAAAACTCAGTTAACCTGCTGTAAGTAAGTCAAATGATTAAAAAGGTTGAAAGACGTAAAGCTCGACTCGTCGTGAAAGGTTGTAGCCAAAAAAAAGGAATAGATTTCCAAGAAACCTATTTATAACGATTTATCCAGGTGGTCAGGTATGCTTCTGTGAGATTCCTATGCGCCCTAGCTGTAAAGGACGGGTTGAAGATGGACCAGATGGACGTTACTACTGCTCTCTTGCATGGAGAATTAGAAGAGAAGATTTACATTAGACCGCCAAAAGAATTCATCGAAGCGAACGAAGAGAAGAAGATGACTGATCTCGGCGAGGCACGACACCTCTTGAGTATCCGTATCACAAGGAACAAGGAAATGGGCTAACTATACATCGACCAGGAGACTTAATTCGAGGGATGTTGGAAAAATTCGGAATGGCAAACTGCAAATCTGTATCAACGCCATTCGATCCAAACCAAAAATTAACCAAAAAAGACCAGCTGATGTCTCATGCAGAGGCAAGTGAGATGAGAAAAATTCCATATAGAGAAGCTATAGGTAGCTTACTCTATGCCAGCCAAGGAACAAGGCCGGATATCGCATACGCGGTAGGCCTAGCTAACCGATTCTGTCAAGACCCAAGAAGATTACATTGGACAGCGGTGAAACGAATATTTAGGTATCTGAAGGGAACTCTCTCCACGAAACTAGTCTTTAACATTGAAGCTAATCGAAAAATTGAAGGCTACAACGACTCTGACTGTGCGAACGACGCCGACCACAGAAATTCGATTACTGGAAGCATCTTCCTCTTCCAAGGAGGACCTATATCCTGGCAAAGTAAGAAACAACGCACAGTAGCGTTATTCACAACGGAGGCCGAGTACATAGCGCTATCTTCAACGGCACAAGAAGCGTTATGGTTACGTGTAATAGCCAAAGAGCTGGACCCTGATGCTGTTTTACCAGTCACAATTTTTTGTAATAATAAAGGAGCTATAGATCTGGCAAAAAATACTGGATATCGTCCAAGGACGAAGACATAGACATTAGGCATCACTTCCTTCGGGAATGTGTCGAGAAGAAGAAAATTAGCGTAAAATTCATCCCAACCAAGGAAATGGCAGCAGATGTACTAACTAAAGGATCATTTGGACCCTAGCTGCAAAACTTTAAATTCCAAATGGGGCTGAAAGATTATTTTTATATATTTTTGTCATTTTCGTTTGTGTGGGGGTGTTGAGAAACTGTAAACTCAATTTGAACAATAATAAGTTCCCACCGCTTTTATAGTCAAGGCCAGCTTCGGCCATCTTGATCGATGTATCGATCCAATGTATCGATTCCTGTCGAATTGAATAAACACTGCTTCTTGTCTCACAGGAGAAAAAACAGAACGATACAGATTTGTTTAATTAATATCCCATGTGCATAATCCTGTTCCATCATGTATTATCTCATTGCGCTGAGACAGTAAGCGTACATCGTATGGCTGCTGGCTTAAATATACCATCAATAAAGCTAAAAATCTCAAAATTGGGAGACATCTGTTCCATACGGAACACATCAAATAACGAAGTAGAGGATATCGACATATCTACTAACGCTTCCATCTATCGAACTGAGTTCTTATCTACTAGCAAAAAGAGGAAATTAATACAATCACAGATATGAAAAATTTACGCACGTTCCATCAATCCGAAATGTGGCTACAAGATATACCTATATACAACTCATACAGTATCCTCTCTGAAACCGATGCTACACTAACAGGTAACACCAAAAGAAAGGAAGAAAATAAAGCTTTTCCTATTTACATTCAGAGTCAAGTCATTGAACCGCTAATAGAATTACTTGTGCAACAAGCAGGTAACAACAATTTTACTTTAAAGTAACTCAAAGATAATCAGATAAAAATTCAGTAATTATCCTCGGATCACTATAGGAAAGTAATAAGCAAGTTAAAAAGCAAAAACGCAAATTTTCATACCTATCAACTTAAAGATGAAGGAAGTTATAAGGTAATTCTACGCGGAATTCATCCAAAAACAAATTTACAGAAAATCATTGACGAACTCAAGCAACATAAACACGTTGTTAGGTCGATTAATAATATAGTCAAATATGATACTAAACTGCCACTACCTCTATTTGCTATTGAACTTGAATCAAATAATAATAACAAGAACATATACAGCATGGAAAAACTACTCAACACATTAATTAAATTCGCCAAGACCGAAACGTGACATATCTCAATGCCATGGCTGCCAAACCTACGGTGATACGAATAATTACTGCAATAGGTTACCTGCTTGTGTTAAATGTACAGGTAATCACTTAACTACATTTTGTCCACAATAGGGTAAACTAGTAAACGTAAAGTGCTTTAATTGCCAAAGTAATCATCCAGCAAGCTATAAAGGCTGTTTGGTACGTAAATAACTACAACACAAAACATTTCCTTCACTAAGACGAAGAACACTATCTGAAACTAACAATAACTATATTCCTTATACCACAGAATACAATCCAAAAATAGACACTTCTTAAAACTATACTAAACACTTTTATAAAAATAACAGAACCTATGCACAAGTAACAGCCAAACAGACCTTGCAACAACAAAACATTGTTGTTGTTGACCTTGTAACACCTTCTTCTTGGTCAAGAAATTCTCCTAGAAACGAATATACAGAACTTAAACAACTTTAATCCAATCTGTTAAAAATACAGAACTCATAACACACATGCTCTCAACACAAACATCACTGTTACAGCAACAAACACATCAAATAACTATCATGTTAGATCTCTTAACAAAATTCTTGAATACCTACAAATAATGAATGGATCAATCAAAATAGCTGTTTGGAACACCAACGGATTAGAACAAAGACTTTAAGAACTTAAAATTTTCATCTATACATATAACATTGATATTATGGCAATTTCAGAAAGCAACCTTACAGTTAAAAATTATATAAAAATACCACACTACAGCATATATGATACCAAGCACCCATCGGGAAAAGCACGCGGGGGTTCTGCAATTATCATTAAAAATAATATGAAACACCATCTATATGCCAACACTTCACTTGACTATCTACAAGCAACAACAATTACACTAGAAACCATAACTAGAAAAACACAAATATCGGTTATATATTCATCGCCAAAACATGAAATTATTCAAGAGCAATATTCAAATTTCTTTAAAAGTCTTGAAACAAATTTATAACAGTAGGGGACTACAATGATAAACACAAATAATGGAGGTCAAAAAGAACATCACCTAGGGGTAAAACACTGCTCGAAATCATATCAGTATCAACCGGGGAACCCACCTATTGGTCAGCAGCATCAAACAAATTACCAAATCTTCTAGATTTCGCCATAACTAAAGGACTGAAAAAGGCGCACTTCAAATTAATTTTAAGCACAGAACTAAACTCTGATCACACACCTATATTGATAGAATTTCTACAAAACCAATCCACATAGAAACTACATCCAAATTATATAATAGAAATACGAACTGGGATAAATTTAGGTCAACTATTGACGAAAAATTATATTGCAAAACCCTTCTGAAAACATCAGAACATATCGAAAATACTGTGAAGTACATAACAAAAATAATTCAAGAGTCAGCATGGTTATCTACTTCTAATATACAAGAAAATAAAATGAGCTGTTCACACTCAGCCAATGTTTTCCAGAAAATTAAACAAAAAAGAAAAGCTACAAACAAATGGCAAAGGCATAAAACAGAAGAAAATAAAAGGCAGTTAAATGAAGGTTACTCACAAGAGAGGTTAAAATAATGACAAAAGAATACTGTAATACAAACTATTCACTCTGAAAGGCAACAGAAAAATTAAAAAGATCAATAATGCAGACTCCAATATTGCGAAAACCAGACGGATCTTAGGCAAAGACGTCCATGGAACAAGCCAAGACATTTACTAACCACTTATATCAAACTCTTCAGCCAAATAGTATGGTTACGACAGTAAATACTACAACCGTATGCGATAGTACTGAAAGCGAAGATCAAAACAACTTGATATACAAGACTACAAAAAAAGAAATAAAGCAATTAATAAATATAATAAAAGCTAAAAAATCTCTAGGCTTTGATCTCATTAGTGGGAAAGTAAATGAAGAACTCCTAGAAAAAGCTATCAGAATAATTACCATAATATTTATCGCCGTACTTAGTCTCCATTACTTCCCTGACTCATGGAAACTGGCAGAAATAATAATGCTGCCTAAGCAGAATAAAGGTATTCATGAACCATCCTCTTACAGACATATTTCCTTATTACCGATTCTATCCAAACTTTTAGAAAAAGTAATATTAGTTATAATTAAAAAAATAATTAATAAAAAACGACTAATACCAGATCACTAGATTGGCTTTAGAGAGAAATATGCTACAATTGAACAGGTTTACAGATTAATTAATCAAATAACAACTGCTATGGAAAACAAGAAATACTGTATATGTCTATTCTTAAACGTATAAAAAGCCTTTGACAAGGTATAACATGAAGGCTTATTAAAAACTATAAAACAACACTTCAATTTATCTATTTCTTAAATCATACCTAAACAATAGAACTTTTTATGTAAAAGTTAAAGACTCACACTCAGCTGTACAAGTAATACTTGCCAGTGTACCACAAGGAAGCGTATTGCGTATCTCTATACGCTCTACTCTGCGGATATCCCGACAACGCAAGGCACTATATTAAGAACCTTCGCCGACGACATTGCAATCTTAGCCACATACGAAGATCCACAAGAAGCAACTATAATCTTGTAAAATCACATAAAATTGCTTGAAAAATGGTTGATAGATAGTAAAATTAAAGTCAACTACAATAAATGCAATCACATTACATTCACCCTTCGCAAAAGCAAAGTACTAGCAATCACTATACACAATAATAAAATACTGCAAACAAAATAAATCAAATATTTGGGTTTGTACCTTGACTCTAAACTAACCTGGAAACAATACATTCATAAAAAAAAATACTACAAATTAAACTTAAAAGAAAAGACATTTATTGGTTAACAGGCCGAAAATCTAAATTAAGTATAGAAAATGAGTTACTAATATACAAAACAATAGTAAAGCCTATTTGGATGTACGGCATCCAGTTATGGGGTACGGCAGCTAAAAGCCATATCTCCAAAATGGAAGCTATGCAATTAATAATAATTCGCACAATTGTAGACGCGCCATGGTATGTCAAAAACGAGGACTTACGTAAAGATTTACAAATCTCAGCAGTATCAAAGGAGATACAGCGGATGTCTGACAAATATAAATCAAGAACCCTAAACCACCCTAAACCGTTACCCAATACTCTTTACAACAACAATACAGCAAGAAGACTTTAAAAAAGGCCTCAAGATCTAGTTACGCAAGTCTGAAACAACAGGACTGAAACTCACATGCTACCCTCAATTCAGTAAAATAACTCGCCAAATGTCTCACGTGATAAATTGCAAGAAAATTCCTGGGAATTATAAAAAAAAATTCCGGAACATTTCTATATTCTATAAGATCTCAAAATTCTATATATTTTTATATTCTTCACTAAATTATTTATCTGAATAAACATAGAATACGAGTGCATATACGTAGGTAGATAAGAGAAGAAAACATTCGTATTCCCAAATAACAAGGCAAAGCTTAAAGCAATCGACAAAAGCACAAAGAAATGTAATAGACAATAAACGAGAAACAACAAAGAAGAATAATTCAAATCAGTTTACAAAAAATAGCTGTAAGATACACATGGATTTTTATTCGGTTATTGAAATTGTTTATCCTATAAATAATCGACCAGAAACCCCATGTTCTCTCTTTAATTCTAACTACAACTCAAACTATCATAGCAATGTAAAATTGACCTTCTCCTATACATTTCACTTCGACTCCTTTGTTCCTTTTTCTTGTTTTCTTTAAGGCTGTTCAGTACTTTTATTCAAAATGTGTGATTTCAGCGATTTGTATGTACAAAATATGAACTACGAAACTATGAGCAACGCTGACCACGATACGTCAATCATATCGGTACATAAGTTTGTGTTGGTTATTTCCCTCTCATGCTTACATAACAATTGGTGTGAGTTGGAGTAGTTCAGTTGAATTTGATTGTAAACCTTTCAATCTCTCATATGTGTACCTTTCTTTAATGTGTACCGTTCTTTAATGTTCTTAAATTAGAGTGCGTTTCGCAGTGATCCGTGCTAGATAAGATGTCGATACGCATTTGTTTTACAATAAATCCATCGAAACTAATAAATATAATTGACACAAATTAAAAAGAATTAGTATATTAGGTTGGCGCGAATGAAATGTCGGATTCTTAAGTGAATATATTAAACTGCATATCTTTTTCCAAAAGCTGTTTATTTAATCAAAATATGCTCCATTTACTTCAATACACTTTTCTCAACGAGATTTTAATGCATAGATGCCTGTCTTGAAGAAATTCTGATCTTTAGAATCAATGAACTCTGATATGGCATTTTTCAGACTGTCTTCATTTTCGTACTGTTTAGCCCGTAAAAACAGTTCTAAATGTTTAAATAAATGAAAGTCGGTTGGCGAAAGATCCGGTGAATAAGGTGGGTGCTGCAAAATTTCATATTTTAATTCATTTAATTTCGCAATTGTTTTGTACGATGTATGCGGCCGAGCGTTGTCGTGGAGAAGTATTGGTCCGATTAACAAGTGATGGGCGTATAATTTTCAATTTTTCATGCATTTCTTCAATGTACTGGCAATAATTTTCGGCTATAATTGTCATTCCAGTTCGAAGGAATGAGTAGTGTATTACTCCAGTCACATTCCACCAAACTGTGATTAAAATTTTCCGTGGATGAAGTGATGGCCGTGGAGTATGAGCACAAACACGAGCCCCTATCAAGTCACCGAGCACACATTTTCCTATTGTCGTAAATAACCCATTTTTCATCACAAGTAATGATCCGATCGAAAAATGGATTTCGATTAAATCGGGTTAGCAATGATGAGCATACGTTCAAGCAATCCAGCTTATTTCGCTTGGTTAGTTCGTGCGGTATCCACTTATCCATTTTTTTCACCACGCCAATTTCAGAAAGATGTCGCAATATTGTTGTATGGTCAACTTCCATTCTTGCAGCAAGTTCCCTTGAAGAAACAGTTGGATTCGTTTCCACCAATGCTTTCAGAGCATCATTTTTCACAGACGTTTCGGGTCTTCCACGCGGTTCATTTTGCAGGGAAAAATCACCAAACCGAAATTTTTCAAACCAACGCTGCGCTTTTAGATCATTCACAGTATTCTTCCCAAACGTCTTGTTTATATTACGTGCAGCTTTTGCATCATTATTACCAAGTTTATACTCATATAAGAAAATTACACGAATATCGGTTGAATCCATATCGGTGCAAAATTCAAAGCAAATAACAAAAGGAAACACTTTTGAGAAAATCTTCTTTACTAAAATATGATTCTGGCAGTGGACAGTACGACTATAAACCAGGTTATGTCAAAAACAAAAACATGACAAAAAGAAGGAGACAAACATTCACATTTAAAGAAAATCAGACATTCATACGCACCGACCTAATATTAATCTGCGACAAAAATAAAAATTTGTTTAATATTTTCTCAATAATAATTAGTAAATAATTATAATTTTATTATTTTAATACAAATTAAAGCATGAATTCATTTCCATACTATGAAGTAGAACGCTTTTTCCTTACATTGGTTGCCTCTGTAAGATTAATCCAGTCTATACGACTTCAACTATTACTACTAATAATAACATGCTACTATTTCTATTACTGATAATAATGTAATGTAATGTAATGTAATATGATGTAATGTAATGTAACGTAATGTAACGTAATGTAACGTAATGTAACGTAATGTAACGTAATGTAACGTAATGTAACGTAATGTAACGTAATGTAACGTAATGTAACGTAATGTAACGTAATGTAACGTAATGTAACGTAATGTAACGTAATGTAACGTAATGTAACGTAATGTAACGTAATGTAACGTAATGTAACGTAATGTAACGTAATGTAACGTAATGTAACGTAATGTAACGTAATGTAACGTAATGTAACGTAATGTAACGTAATGTAACGTAATGTAACGTAATGTAACGTAATGTAACGTAATGTAACGTAATGTAACGTAATGTAACGTAATGTAACGTAATGTAACGTAATGTAACGTAATGTAACGTAATGTAACGTAATGTAACGTAATGTAACGTAATGTAACGTAATGTAACGTAATGTAACGTAATGTAACGTAATGTAACGTAATGTAACGTAATGTAACGTAATGTAACGTAATGTAACGTAATGTAACGTAATGTAACGTAATGTAACGTAATGTAACGTAATGTAACGTAATGTAACGTAATGTAACGTAATGTAACGTAATGTAACGTAATGTAACGTAATGTAACGTAATGTAACGTAATGTAACGTAATGTAACGTAATGTAACGTAATGTAACGTAATGTAACGTAATGTAACCTAATGTAATGTAATGTAATGTAACGTAATGTAACGTAATGTAATGTAATGTAACGTAATGTAACGTAATGTAACGTAATGTAATGTAATGTAATGTAATGTAATGTAATGTAATGTAATGTAATGTAATGTAATGTAATGTAATGTAATGTAATGTAATGTAATGTAATGTAATGTAATGTAATGTAATGTAATGTAATGTAATGTAATGTAATGTAATGTAATGTAATGTAATGTAATGTAATGTAATGTAATGTAATGTAATGTAATGTAATGTAATGTAATGTAATGTAATGTAATGTAATGTAATGTAATGTAATGTAATGTAATGTAATGTAATGTAATGTAATGTAATGTAATGTAATGTAATGTAATGTAATGTAATGTAATGTAATGTAATGTAATGTAATGTAATGTAATGTAATGTAATGTAATGTAATGTAATGTAATGTAATGTAATGTAATGTAATGTAATGTAATGTAATGTAATGTAATGTAATGTAATGTAATGTAATGTAATGTAATGTAATGTAATGTAATGTAATGTAATGTAATGTAATGTAATGTAATGTAATGTAATGTAATGTAATGTAATGTAATGTAATGTAATGTAATGTAATGTAATGTAATGTATTAATACATAATAATAATAATAATACAAATCTACTTAAATATTATTTTTATAAATCTAGATATTATTTTACTCTTTATATTATAATTGTAAAGACAATTAGTTTCGATGAATTATGAGTAAGAAATAGTGCGGAAACAAATGCATTACGATCATAAGATAGTAAGACAATGAGAAACAATAACTGATGAAAAGAAAAAACATTTCATACTTTTCCTCCTGAAGAATACCATTTTTTAACACGATTGTTTTCAAAGAAAATAAAGCTTTTTCAAAAATTTTCCAAGAGTGCCGTAGATAAAACCTTCGTCTTTAAAATACGATTTTGTTCGTCAAAATTGGTCAAGAATTACGCCTGTTCTCATTGATGGTATAAACCATTAAAATACCAGAGGTGATAAACAGCCTTAATATCTTTTTCTTGGAGATAATCGATCGTGTTTATTGAAGGTGACGAATTGTAACTTTTTTAATGCGTTCACGTTGCATTTATAATTCGTTCTTTCGCTTTTATTATGATCAATAATACATTGCCAACTCTTAATGATTATCTCCATCGGTAAAATTTCAAATCATGCATATTTTTTCATTTAAAATCATTACTGTTCAGTAAGTTGACATCACACTCTCACTCTCTCTCTCTCTCTCTCTCTCTTTTTCTTCTTCTTTCTCTCTCTTTATCTATCTATCACTATATTCTCCTTATTTGCATTTTCTCTGTCAGTTTTAACCGCGCGCGCGAATATCACTATTCAAGAGATTTAAATGATAACCTATGTAAATTAATCGCGATATAAAAGTACATAATTCCTTTAAAAGTTATTATATTACATGCTTTGCTTGCTAGTTCGGTTGCTTGCTTGGTTTCTTTCAACAATTGATTCGATTAGTATTAACGAGAAACTTATTCGTTAGGAAGGAAACCGTACGTTATTTCAAATCCTTTGAAAATGACTTTTATATAATCTAGTTGTAATATGAATTTCATCGTTGAGTATATTAAACTTTATCGTTTTTTCGTCTTTCTTGTCAAATAATATGTATCTCATGAACAAAAAGTTTATTACAATGCTCGATATACTACTCTTCGTATTTGAACATCATTTTTCAATGGCATACGTATTGTATATATATATATATATATATATATATATATATATATATATATATATATATATATATGTTACATACATGTAAGCGCGCTTATCCTATTTGAATGTTCGCTCTTCGACATATACAACATATGAAACGAAAAAGTAAAAAGAAGTTTTTAAGAAAATTATATCGTATAGACAATAAAGGATTTAGTTTTTTTTTTGTTCCTATTGAGAGACAAACAAATAGACAAATAGATATATAGACAGATGGATAGATAGACAGATAAATATATTCATAGATAGATAGATAGATAGATAGATAGATAGATAGAGAAAGAGACATAGAGAGAGAAAGAGACAGGCAGACAGACAGAAAAACAGATAGACAAATAAATAGACAGACAGACAGATGAACAGACAGATAGATAGATAGATAGACAGACAGACAGACAGACAGATAAACAGATATATAGATAGATAGATAGAGGGAAAAAGAGAAATAGAGAAATAGAAAGAAGACTAAAAATATATTTCCGAATATAATTTAAATTTAATATGAAAAAAAAATTATACGAACAAATATTCCTGATATATTATTTGTCCACAAAAGATTATGATAATTATTAACAAGATTATGATAATCGATATAAAAATACATCAATTATTACAAAATCTATTTAAGAAACTGAACGTTATTGAACGATCAATAATTATTTGAAGTTAAAATACTTGTATACCTTGCTGATAAAGAACTTAAAATTGTAAAATTAATCCTGGCATTCACCTAAGGAGTAAAAAAATATCCATTAATTTGGTCAGTCGTATTAATTTCACCTCAAATCAATACAAGATCGAGCAACATCATTCTTTCGGTAGTTCTCTCGGTAGCGGTATGACATCAAAGATTTCTCGTTACGGTTTCTTCGATATTATTACATAAGCAAACCGCGTATTTCCCTTTCTCGTAATATGTTGAGATATGCTGAGCGGTTTAATAGGCGTTACAAAAGTTACTGCAGAGGCAAAAGAAGGTAAAGTATGTAAAGTGTCTACACTTATCTCTGTGTATATATCTGTATATGTGGACTTGCGTGATTCTATGCAATGTTTGCAAATTTAATAGTCAAATTTCATCAGTGTATTCTATGATTCTAAATAAAAAACAAATATTATTATACAAACATGTCTTTTAAGTCATTAAGCCCATTAAAATTTTATGAAAAGAATATATATGTATATATATATATATATATATATATATATATATATATATATATATAGAATTGGGAATATAACTTTGATCACCTTGTATATTTATATTCTTTGTAAAAATACGTAGAGACCTCGTTTAAAACAATCGTACGGTACAAAAGGGTCCATGATGTGACAATGATAATTTTGTTATGAGAGAAGGCATCCAGGATATACGAAGATCAATAAGCGAGTTTTTTTCTTTTTTAGCGATATTTAAGATGTCAGACCATCCAAAAAGTTTCAAAAAATTGATTTTTTCGCAGTTTTATTAACTTTGAAATTTTGTAAACATTTTAAGCCATATCCGGCATTAAAATTCGAAAAATTGGCGGAGATATAGGTATTTTTAGGTAGAATGGTCGGGTAGCTGCATGCAAAAGGTTCGACTCGTATGTACTCAGTGCGCAAACCTGTCTATTGTGTTCTTTTGTATGTGTACGAAATTCTAAACTTTATCATTTTTTCTGTAATCAGTAACGTTATGACGTGTAAAGCATGCAACCGTGAAGTGAAGTTTATGGAATCGAGCATTCGTGGACTCGATTTTACATTAGTGATTTCGTATGACTCCTGCGTACCAACTAGTACCAATTCTAATACTCTCCTAAAAAATAAAGTTTATGGTATAAACAGACGCGAATTATTTTAGCATTTTGATTGTTAAGAATTAGTTTACGAGAAATAGAAAAATTTTGTGGAATCATGGATTTACCGAAAGCGATGTACGGGTCGTTTTACGATATCGTCATTGAGCAAATGAATATTGTTACAGAGAGTGTGTGCAAGATGTCAATGGAAAACGCTGCGAAGGAAAAACTATTGGATATTACTCAAAGTGATAAATTTAATAGTTAAATCTTCTGCAAAGTAAGCAAAGCTTGTGTATGATGGCTATAAA